TAATTATGTTATTCTGACAGGTTCAGCTCAAGGATTAGAGTGAAGCCAACGTCCTGCATCACCCCAGAGCTGGTTAGAAATGTAGAGTCTCAGGCCCCAGGCTAGACCTACTGAATATAAATCTGCATTTTTTTTTTTTTTTTTTTTTTTTTTTGCGGTACGCGGGCCTCTCACTGTTGTGGCCTCTCCCGCTGCGGAGCACAGGCTCCGAACGCGCAGGCTCAGAGGCCATGGCTCACGGACCCAGCCGCCCCGCGGCATGTGGGATCTTCCCGGACCGGGGCACGAACCCGCGTCCCCTGCATCGGCAGGCGGACTCTCAACCACTGCGCCACCAAGGAAGCCCTAAATCTGCATTTTAACCAGACCCCGTGGTGGTTTACGTGCACATTAAAGCCTGGGCGGCACTGCTCTATACCATAACTGACAGATCAGGCTGTACCTAAGAACTGATGCTGAAGCGATTTTCCAGATTTGGGGAGGCATGAAGCGTAGTGTGTTTCAAGTAAATCCAATGATTGCTTGCCATTAAATCCCTATAGAGATTTTTTTTTTTTGGTCTTTACTGCTTTCATTTAAATTCATATTTTATTTGGGGATTTTTGATATTCATGTTAGTCAATAATGGAGCTTGATATTGTATATTAACTTGAATTCTCCTCCCCCTCCATTCTTCTTGGGTTAAGAACTCTGATAATAGAAGGAAACTGTAGAGCTGACATTCAAGGAAAATCCAGAAAATGAATTCCTTTTTATCTTCAGGCAGAGCAGCGCCAATGAATAGAGTACTGTAATAAAACCTTTTTATATGCCTGTCATAGAAAGACAAACCTTTTCCAGAGGAAATGGATTTGAGTATTTGCAAGGTATGATAAACAGCCTGACAAAAAAGGGCCTGAATTTCCCTTTTAAATGTTCAGGAGGGGGCGGTTTTAACTTCCCTTGTCAGGTAAAAAACAGAATTCATCATCAAAGCCACTCCAGCTGAAATTCAGAAATGAGCACTAGACAATCAGAGTGGAAAGCAATGATTTAGAAATGTGTTAAAGGGAGTAGTTTAATGAATAAAGTGTCAACTTTCTAGAGGAGTAAAAATAAATCATGCATCGGCTTAACCAGTTTTGTTCCCCCGAATTAGCTGGGTGTAGCTGGCTCTAGCACTTGGTGTAAGGAAACATTAAAATCTAATTCTCACTAAGATTTGTATACGTGAATTGTTGATAATGATGTTAATGATGGCATTATATCCATTTTATGACAACTCTATTCCAGAAAGTGCTAAAGGGAAAAAGAAAATTAGGCAAATGGCCCTGATTTTTGCTTTTTCCACTCAGCAGGTAGCCTTGAGCCCTAGACTCATCCATCAGGAAATGACCTCAAGTCCAGGTACAGAATTGTCTGGACTCTTGGAGTTGCTGCCCTGGGTCTCGGTTTCCAGGTGTGTTTGTTTCCTAGGGTCGCTCTGACAAAGTACCACGAACTGGGTGCCTTAACCAATAGACATTGGTTCTCTGACAGTTCTGGAGGCCAGGAGTCCTAGAGCAGGGTGTGGGCAGGGTTGGTTCCTTCTGAGGACGGTGAGGGAGAGTCTGCTCTATGCCTCTCCCAGCGTCTGGCGACTTGCTGCCAGTCTTTGGTGTTCCTTGGTTTGTAGATGCATCCTCCTGACCTCTGCCGTCATTTTCACATGGCGTTCTCCCTGTGTGTGTATGTCCAGTCTTTCCTTTTTTATAAGAACACAAGTCATGTGGGACCGGGGCCTACCCTGATGACCTTATTTTAACTTGACTACATCTGCAAAGACTCTGTTTCTAAATAAGGTCACATTTTGAGGTACTGGGGGTTAAGACTCCAAAATATCTTTTTTTTAGGAGACATGATTCAACCTGTAACACTAGATGAGGCCACTTTATAAAGATGTTGTTTGATTTGCTAATAACTAAACTCCATGGTCCTATTACACTCTTGAGTATGGGATCAGCATTCAGCAAATCATCACTGAATAAAGTAATTCCTTACCTAAGTATACACACTTACAAAGTACCATCATGTACCTTTGAGGTATTGATATATGATACTTATTTATAAATCAGGAAATGGAAGCACTAAGAGGTTAACAGAACATGCCACTCACATTCTGTAGCTATCAGTTTTGTTTTCTTGTTTATTGTTTGTCTCTAACTCAAAGTGCCGGGCAGGGGCCGTGATTATTTGCTTAATGCTTTGTCTTCCGCACTAGCGCTGTGACTGGCACATAATGGGTGCTCAGTATATGTTTGTGGTGTGAATGAATGAATGAACAATGGGGACTAGCAGTGGGGATCTGAATCCAGGCTTTCTAACTGGAAATCTAGTTCTGTGTTGTTATGAATAAATTGACACATTCCTACCATTCTGTGGTATCCAAGACCAGTTTCTACTCTATAGTGAATAACTAATGGTGTTAGTGTGATGTTACAATAAGAGATATCTGTGGGTTGAAAAAAACTCATCTTCCTAGATTTTTAAACAACAAACTTAAGAAGGTGTGGCTAAAAAAAAAAACACAAAAAAACTTGGGCTTCCCTGGTGGCGCAGTGGTTGAGAGTCTGCCTGCCGATGCAGGGGACACGGGTTCATGCCCCGGTCCGGGAAGATCCCACATGCCGTGGAGCGGCTGGGCCCGTGAGCCATGGCCTCTGAGCCTGCGCGTCTGGAGCACAACAGTGAGAGGCCCACGTACCGCAAAAAAAAAAAAAAAAGGTGTGGCTAAGCCAGGGGCTTTCAAATCTTTCTGACTGTGACCCACAGTAAGAAATTCATGTGACATAATATCTTATTAACACACATACAACTGATACAAATTTCATTAAACACTACTTAACCTTCTTACATGCACTAGTCTCTGACCTCTCCTCACCCCTCCTCCCCTCCCCTTCCCTTCCCTATGCTTTCTTTCCCTTCTCCTCTCTTCCATCCCATTTTAAAAAAATGCTAATTTGCACTTTCTAAATTGATTTTTATGATGCACGAATGAATTGCAACCTGCAAGTAAAAAGTGGAAGAGACCACTAGCTGTTTATGCAAATTCATCACCCCATTTCTGGCCACACAGTGAGACTACATTTCCCTGCCTTCTGTGCATTTAGGTGTGACAACGTGTCCAAGTCCTCTCCAGTGGGGTGTGAGTGGAAGTAGTGGATACAGCTGTCAGGCCCAGCCCTTGTGGGTCCTTCATGCTCCTTTCCCCTCCTGGTGAACTGGGAGGGCAGTTCCCAGGGAGACCTCAGCAGCTGCCTCCTGAAGATGGCAGAGCATTTGTCAGCCTGGGCACCTGGACTCTTACAGGAGAAAGAAATTCACTTCTTGATCTTCAGGCTCCTAAATCTTCGCAGTTATTTGTAAGGGTAACTTATCTTATCCTCATTTATCCAATGACCAAGCAGCGGCTTGACTTTTGAGACACAATAGATCTCTGTTTCATACTCTTCTTTTGTAGCTGTGGCCATATTTCAGTTTACAGTGCTGAGCATAAATATATCTAGGGAAGAACGGCTGCCCCAACACCTCCTGAATATAAAAGTCCTGGAAGATGACCTCATCACCAAGGCTACGCTGAACAACTGAGCATGGTACATGTGAGATGGGCAGATTCATACAATTACTGCTGCCTTTTTATATGCAATGTGAAACAGCCCAAATAGCATGAAAGCACACATTTGTAAGAAGGAGAAGACCAGAGCTTTAATGGGAAAACACACTCCAGGTCTGAGCTATCATGACAAATCATCCAATTTAATGCTCACACATGCTCTTTGGGTCTCCTCAGCAGAGGGTGAGGAAAGATGGCCGTTATGTGTTGGCTCTCCTTGCATGCCTGGGACAGAGAAGCCCATCGTGGCTGTGTAAAGCAACACTTACATTTCCTTCCTCCTTCTGCTTTTCCTCTTTGATGTACAGAGTTCCCACCTGTACTTACCTGCATGTTGTTGCTTGTGATTTGCTCTTTACTAAGTAAGGAAAACCAAATGATGGAATTGTAGTTCATTTTCTTTTCTCCTGCTTTTCATCTAATGGCAACCTTCATGAGCAGCAGTAATGACCAAGGGTAACAGGAGCTGAAAGGGAGGAGAGAAAGCAGAGGCCTGCATCATTTCTAAACTGAGTTCTTTCACATGTCATTTAGAAATGACTAGAGATGTACATAAAGTTCTCTTGTATAAGACTTGACTTTAGGTAAATTCAATTTTCCATAATCATCTTCACCATTGAATGGAAGTATCACAGAGCTGGAAGAGGCCTTACAACTTCTAGTCCAACTCTTTCTCTTTACAGGACACTGAAGCCCAGAGATGGTAAGGGACATGTCCAAGGTCACAGAAATTAGTTTTTGCCAGAGCCCATACTAGATTCTATATTTTCTTCATGCCTGAGTTTCTATTATTTAGGGTACGCTATATGCCCTCCCAGAACTGAGAGTTTTTTTCCTTCCTTTCCTCCCATCCTCTCCTTCCTTTCCTTTTTTTTTAAATTTTAATTTTTTAAATTGAAGTATAGTTGATTTACAATGTTGTGCTAGTTCCAGATGTACAGCAAAATGATTCAAATATATACTTTTTCAGGTTCTTTTCAATTATAGGTTAGTACAAGATATTGAATATAGCTTCCTGTGCTATACAGTAGGTCTTTGTTGTTTACCTCTTTTATACGTAGTAGTATGTATCAGTTAATCCCAAATTCCGAACTTATCCTTTTCCCCAGCCACTTTCCCCTTTGGTAACCATAAGTTTGTTTTCTATGCCTGCGAGTCTATTTCTGTTTTGTAAATAAGTTCACTTGTATCATTTTCTTAGATTCCATATATAAGAGATATCATATGATATTTGTCTCTGATTTACTTCACTTAGTATGATAATCTCTAGGTCCAACCACATTGCTGCAAATGGCATTATTTCATTCTTTTTCATGGCTGAGTAGTATTCCATTGTATTTCTTTTCTTTTCTCTTTTTCTTCTTTTCAGATGCTGCTGACAGCTGTGTTCCCTGTGGAGTAAACTGCTAGCCTGGTTACCTCACTCTGGACACTAGGATCTTGACTGTGTGAGTCTGGCGGGGCACATCCAGGCTGGGAATCTATTTACAGTTAACGCTGGGAGGGGTATTATGCTGTACTATAAAAGATGACAAATGGGATATGCTGGGAATGACAGAACTCTCACTGTGGAATCAGAGCACGTGTAGATTACTTTAGGGGTGACCCAAGCTGGCCATTTGCAACAATCATGAATACCATCCAGTGGTGTTGAGGGATTCATTTCCATTTCCCAACCTCCTGGTAAGATCCTCAACCAAGTGTGGCCAAGGGACCAGCTCAGCCCTGGTCTCATGCAGGCATCTTTCTTACACACCCTGACCCTGTTGACCCTTTGTCATGTGGCCTCGCTGCTCTTGTCCCAGACCAGTCTGTGGGACTATTGATTGCTTGTTTCTGGCCCTTATGAGAGAATTCTCAGTCTTGCTCTGCCATTGCTCCCAGTCTATTTTCAGCCTGAGTCTCCATTGATGGTGTTTAAAGGAGGCTAACGTCCCTCACCAAGCTCAGCAAAAACACTGACTTCCTGCTGACCCCAGGTGTCACAGGCTGTCTTTTCCCAAAGCACTGGGACTTGCCCCTGAGGAGCTGGGCTTGCCCCACTGCCTCTACACTGTGACACGGCGAAGGGGCTTCCCCTGTGGCTTAATTTGGTAGAAAGAGTAACTTCCAGATTGGAGCCAAGCAGAAAATGGGCTCCTCTTTTGCTTTAAATACAGAGGCCACTCTGGTTCCCAGCCAATGGGGCTCCACCTAGCACTCTCCTTGGCTGCTAAAGTTCTCCATTTGATTGGTTACCTTTTCATACCTTCACTCTCAGTGTGGGCTGTGCTAGTGGACTCAAAGTACCTGCTACTCCCACCCCCCAGACAATGCTGGTTACTGGGTGGGGAGAGGAAATGGTCACAGATAGTCATATACTATGGCCTTGATTCTTCAGGGCCCTCAGATGAGTTGGGGAGATGAGGCTGCCTCCAGGGTTTGTGCTTTCCATTGCATACCTGTTCACAGAATGTGATTTGATCACCGAGACTGTGTTTTGGGGAAACCAAAACCCCACACACAACTCTGGGGGGCAGCAAGAGTTTTAAGCGCCCCAGACGTTCTAGAAGATGACCAAGGCAGAGAGCTGCTGCTTTGGAGGGCTAGTGGGCCCTGATCGGTGTAAGGAAGAAAGCTGTCCGCTGGCCAGGACACCCACATTGGAATGGTACTTAAGAGAGAAAGAAATTTTTATTCTGTGAAGTCCCTGGAAATTTGGGGTTTATTTGTTATAGCAGCTTAGTTATCCCAATTAATATATCTTTTTAAAGAGCTCAGGGAGAATGCCTCCTCGGCATGCCATGATTTTCTCTGCTCCAACCTCTTCCAGCTGCTTTGTTCTGTCAGATTAAACTGTCCCAAAGTGGGCAGCTGGGGTGCTGGGTGCTGGTGGGATGCAGAGCGGCCCATCAGCTCTGGCATCCCCAGGTGCTCCTCCTGTGACCTTGAGAACTTTGAATCAGGAACAGCGCCCCTGCCTCCCCCGCCCCCCATAAGCTCACACGTGGAGATAATCACGGTCTTGTTGGAAAGACGGTGATTCCCTCAGGTTTTGTTCTGTGATCCTGTTAGGCTTTGTAATTCTGTTTACTGATATCCAGTGCTCAGGATGATGCCTTCTACTCTGTGGGTTGGTGATATGATACCGCATTTAATTTTTCCAAGTTTTCTGATACCACTCAGTGGGAGAAATAATTGTTTGTGTGTAATTGCAGAATGTTCCCACCTAATCGTCTCAGAACCGCAGGGCATGTATTTGATTTCTTTGATTGATCTGTTTTGTGTATGTATTTTTCCAACATCTTGAATAATTTAGGGGTAATCCTGGGTTGGTGGCTCATTTGGTGTCTAGCGATTATGAGTCCTTCTGAAGCATATTTCACTCAAGTGTCTGAAGGCAGGAAGGAACTGCTTTATAACAAGACTCATTTTTACATGAACTTGGGCAAACTGTGTGGCCACTCAGGTTCCTGGAATCTAGTGCTTACCTTCAGCTTAAGTTGCGTTCTAAGAGGCAGGCTTGGTCCTATCTCCTGACATCGGCATTGATGCGTTAAGTTTTCTGTTGGCTCTAAGCTCCTTCCTGTGTGTTAGTTGAAAGCCATGATGAAAGGGAAAACAATGCCTGCTGGAGCTCCTGGACCAAACTAGAAACGCTAGTCATGGGGAGGAAGTAGGGTCGGCTCTGGAGCGGAAGTGGTCTGTGGTGGGGGAATAAGCAACAGTACTATAGATGCTCGGGAATTATTCTGAGAACGTAGAGAGCTGCCTCCACCCTCGAGGAGGCAAAAGGATTCATCTGTCCCAAACTCTGCCCTTTCCTCCCCCTCGCCTTACAGCAGGACTCCCCAGCCAAGAGGTGAGGATCTCCCCTGCTAGATCTGGAAGACTTCCCTCTCTGTCATGCTCTTCTCTTGGGAGCTTTCCAGAATTACCAGTGGGAAGGGGGACAGGGTGAAGAGCAGGTCCCCTGTCTGTGCCTCACAGGGAACTTAACTGGCGCCCTTCACTGAGGTGAGGGCTCAGGTCCTCCTTGTCAGAATCCTCTCCTCAAAGTGGTCTCAAGGGTCTTCCCTGGTGGCGCAGTGGTTGAGAATCTGCCTGCTAATGCAGGGTACACGGCTTTGAGCCCTGGTCTGGGAGGATCCCACATGCCGCGGAGCAACTGGGCTCGTGAGCCACAACTACTGAGCCTGCGCGTCTGGAGCCTGTGCTCCGCAACAAGAGAGGCCGCGACAGTGAGAGGCCCGCGCACCGCAATGAAGAGTGGCCCCCGCTTGCCACAACTAGAGAAAGCCCTCGCACAGAAACGAAGACCCAACACAGCAAAAATAAATAAAATAAATTAATAAACTCCTACCCCCAACATCTTCTTTAAAAAAAAAAAAAGTGGTCTCAAGGCTTTGGCAGGACAAAAATGCACCTCGTCAGTGGCCTTCAGCCAAAGCCCACCAGGAACACACCTGTGGTTGAACAAGTTGGGTTTGTTGCTTGTTGTAATGGGGGAGACACACACCATGGGGAACTTGGGGAGACTCAGTTAAAGGGTGTTGGAAAGAACCTACTATAGGATTTGGGCTTGTGCTTGATGATTTGAGGGAGGGGTGAAGAAATTAGGATAGGATGCGTTCCAAGAGTGGGGGTAATTCTATCATTGGGTATCTTAACCTGACTGTAGAAGGCAGGATGAGTGAATCAAGGCTGGAACTGTAATTGGTAAAGAAGAGGGGTCACTCATTAGCAGGATAGGAGGACGTGTGGTCATTTTTGCACTTTGTTTGTTTGTTTATGCGGTACGCGGGCCTCTCACTGTTGTGGCCTCTCCCGTTGCGGAGCACAGGCTCCGGACGCGCAGGCTCAGCGGCCATGGCTCCCGGGCCCAGCCGTTCCGCGGCATGTGGGATCTTCCCGGACCGGGGCACGAACCTGCGTCCCCTGCATTGGCAGGCGGACTCTCAACCACTGCGCCACCAGGGAAGCCCCATTTTTGCACTCTGGATGATGTTCATATTTTTGTGTGGAGTGGTCTTGTTTTTCCTTGGATCCATCACAGTCATTGGTGTTCTGTGAAATCGCTCATATTCAACAAGCTGTCAGTGCCAGCTCCTAGCAACACCAAGGCCTGGCTGACAGAACCAGGACCGTTCCCACATATCAGTGGCTGTTTTCTTGTTCTCAATCTGGTACACTTTTGATCATTAAAAGATCGAAATTGTTCTGAATTGCTAATGTAATTAGCCACTTCCATGAGCCTTCTGAGGGTGCTCTCCTGTCCCTGCCCCACTGTCCTCTTTCACCTCTCACAACCCACTAGTTAGTAGCAAAGTAGGGAACCTTCTGGATCTCCCGGCTCCACTGCTAGCGTCTGTCCTGATGAGTCAACGCCCCTGTGGTACCTGCTGCCAACGTTTGGAATACCACTGTGACTTTAGGATTGTAGATCCTCTCAACCTTAAGACTGAGAAGAGGCAAGAAGCCAGAAGAAAGGGAAAAGAGAGGAGAGGAGAAGGAAGAAACAAGACGAAAATAGAGTGAAGGGTAAATAAGTGAGGAGGAGGGTAGCTGGAAAAATGAAAAGACGTCTAGAAAATGAAGCAGAAATGAGGCCCCAGGAGTGAACTTAACAAAGGCCAAAAACTGGAAAGAAAGAGCTGAGGAGGGAAAGAAGGGAATAGAGAACAAGAGGAAAATTCAGGCTAAGGCACCCCGCTTAAGCATCTTACCTTATACAGTGGTTCACTTGTATTGAATGTGTCTCGAAATGAATCTGCCAGCAGCTGGAGCTTGGAAAACAATCGTTTTGTTAGAGACAAGTTTGGGTTGGAGTTGGATCAAATTTGACAGGGTTTAACCTGTAAAGAAAACAGGAAATGGGCTCTCCAGTCTAACGTTGACTGTGGCACAGCATCAGGGAAGCTGGTTATGATTCGCAGCTTGGCGCCTCCGCTGCTTTTCTTTCTGTTTCATCCCGTGATGCCCCTTTGAATCCAAACTGGCACAGGCCGCTGCGCAGGTATGAAAAACCTCGCTGTCCCTGAGTTAGGATGAAAACCAGTGTGCGTTTCCCTGCCAAGTCTCAGAGAGAAGGCAGTGCGAGCAGATCGTGGAGGAAGCTGCAGAGAGCCTAGATTAACCCACTGTGATGGAGCGGGTATCGCACGCGGAGGACTTTTCTCGGCTTGTGGAGAACTTCTGCAAATAGCCAGCGGGGACCCTGGAGCGGGGTGGGTTCGCGATCCCTTTCCTCTGAAGTGGTGGTTCTTTGAATTGATAGCATAACCACTGTTCCTGGGAACACAGGGCTATTTGAAGGCATCAGTGAGAGGGAAAGACAAGGTAAGCACGAAGCAGGGGAGACAGCGCACTGGCAGGTGGAGGCTGAGTTCTAGAAGCCAGAGTGAGCCTGGGAGGTCACTTCATCCCGAGTTCTTATTACTGCTCTGTAGCCAGAGTCCTTCTGGAAGCT